ATGATATGATCTGGCACCATCTTCACCGGAAAGTGAACCAGCACGGTTAGGCACACCTGGGAGCACACCTGAAATTGCCATAAGCTCAGCCCCTAATAAAATCACCACAAGAATCATCTGCATCGGAATCTCAAGCAACCATCAACCACTTGCCCCGCTCCTCCTACCCCCACTAGTTCAGCACCCCCTCAGGATGCTTGGATCGGATTCAGCCAGTCTAGCGAGAAGAACACGACTGCCTCTATGGCAATGTCTTTGAGCCGTGAGAGCAGGCCAGTGAGAGCAGGCCAGTGAGAGCAGGCCAGTGAGAGCAGTCCAGTGAGGGCAGTCCGGTGAGAGCAGGCCAGTGAGAGCAGGCCAGTGAGAGCAGTCCAGTGAGGGCAGTCCGGTGAGAGCAGGCCAGTGAGAGCACCATTGCCCATTTGGCAAGAATGCCAGCTCCATGACTCCATGAAGCTCTGTCCAGCCCAATGCCCCCTTTCAACTGGCGCTCTCACAGCTGTCAGGCATCACTAACATCGCTCTCACAGCTGGCAGGCATCACTAACAGCGAAACCACCTCAGCCAGCCATGCGCCAAGCGAATGCAAGGAGGAAACCTGAGCCCGCCACGGTGACAACCAACACTCAGGTTCGGCTGTAAACAAGCTTTGGCTCGGCGGTAAAACTTGGCTCGGGCGCGGTTTGGCTCGACAGGGAGGTGGCTTGCCCGGGTGCAAGCTGATACCATAGTATTGATACCAAGGCGATATTTGAAATGTGATACCCCACTCCCACATAACATGGTTCAGAGCCAAGCCGCGCTTGAGCCATCCCACACACACCATAGTGCTGATACCAAGGTGATAATTGAAATGTGATCTCCCACTCCCACTGTCCCACATAACATGGTTTGAAGGCAGAGACTGGGTACTGGGGCGCTGCACGTAAGTAGCAAGGGCCGAGCATGGCTTGCCCCTGTCCTTATATGTTGTGCAGGGAGGGACGCACTTACAGGTAGGAGAGGAGAGAGAGGCGAGAAATTGCTGTTGGGATGGAGCCAGAGAACAAATTCCATCGAAGGTCCCTGCCATGTGTGCCCCACACAAGACGCACAGCACGGGTGGGTTATGAAACAAAATGAAGCATGGCGTTGGAAGGTCAGTTTCGGTGGGAGTCAGGCTTGCATTTGGACTTGGGCACACAATTTCCGACACATTTCAGAGGGGTCGGGCAGTCCAACTGCCAGTCACTTTCGCCAAACCAGCAACACGCTCTTTGCCCTTCACTGACTGACCCGCCCGTCTCATCTTATCCCAGCTTGCCTACTGGCCAAGTAGCCCTATGTCAAGAAGTGTAACGATTTCTCCAGCAATCAAACAGTGGACATATTAAGCTTCTGTGCACATATTCAACTTCTGTGGCCACATTCAACTTTTGTGGAGTCTAGGGCCGGGCACAAAAGGAGGAAGGCCAGATTCCTGCTGGGGGGGTGATTGAACTCCACTTGGTGGCGCCCCCCTGGCCCCCAGGGTACCGTGATTTTCTAGGCGCCTCTTAAAGGCGCCTGAACCCCACCAGATTAATGTGACTTCTGAGGCGCCTGAAAAGGCCCCCCGCTCCCAGCACAGGGTACCGTGACTTGTTGGAGGAGGTCGTTGAATTGAAGGAACGCAACGCACTAAGTGACTATCGTCTCCTTGCTCCTACGTTTCTTCCCACTGCTGCCCTTCTTCATGAGCACAGCACTGACTGAACCGTGACTTGGAGGTCCTTGAAGGAATCACACAGAAACACACAGATCTGCAAAATGGCAGCGGTGGGGTGGAGATGCTCACAAGAAGGCGAGCTTGGTGAGGTGGAATATGGCCGAAGGGATTGTGCCCTCTAGATTGTTGGTTCCAACATTCCTATTTGGGCGCAACGTGAGGCACACGAGAAGCAGGTGATGCAGGCGTAAAGGCACAAGCAGCAGAGACAGACCATTGCAACAGAGACAGACCATTGCAACAGAGACAGACCATTGCAACATCGGCTGCAACTTGGCATGAGCAGCACTTGGCATGAGCAGCACTTGGCATGAGCAGCACTTGGCATGAGCAGCACTTGTCATGAGCAGCACTTGGCATGAGCAGCACTTGTCATGAGCAGCACTTGTCATGAGCAGCACTTGTCATGAGCAGCACTTGTCATGAGCAGCACTTGTCATGGGCATGAGCAGCACAAATGCCTTTCTCTTTCCTGCTACCACTCGCTCTCATCTCGTGCGTTCCAAAATTGTGCATTGGCATGGCAGACTGGCTACTACGAGGGCAGCCCATCCCATCAGGTTCGCTTACTATGCTCATAATGTTCTTTACGCTCCTCACCGCATTGCGCTCACTTTGACTTCAGCGAGGGTCAGTGAGGATCTATAAGCGTCACGATGCAGGAGGGGGTGGGTAGACTCAACTCAGGGCAGTGGCTTCCCTCGGTTAGAGCTCTCAACAGGCATCACATACAGAAAGAAGATAGGCAGTTATGGAGAATAGTTCTCACAGCAAGGTGAGATTGGTGAGGCAGAGGATGGATGAGGGCATTGCGCCACTGATTTTGTTCTTGTGAAGAGATCTATCCAGGCACAACAATGGGAGGGGCGTATGGGGAGCAAGTGGCGTGGGCACGAGGTTATACGGAGCAGTGTACAAGCAACACAGAGACTAGGTACGTCTCCTCCTCTATGGCGAATGCGTGCCGGTCTGGGCACAACAAGGTGTATACACGAGGTTATACAGAGCAGTGCACACGCAACGCAGCAACAAGTTATGTTCTCTTCCATGCCAAATAGCTGTCATTCAGTGCACCCGGAGAATCTGGCATTTGCTCGAAGTCGGATGTCACCAACGAGTAGAGTTGAGACCCCCAACATCTGGCCTTTCTAACCAGCCACAAAGTCTTCAGCTGAGATGGAATTGACAGGACAAGCGTTTTGACGCTGACGTCAAAACGCTAGGGTCAAGAGTCAAGACCCTTGACGCCCTCTGAGTGAATCTGTTGACCCCGCCCCAATTTGACGCTCGGGCGGGCAGGCCAAAAAAAAACACGGGCTGGTAAAAAACTTGGAAATCAGGTGTGTGAGGAGAGGGGGAAGATGTGGCACTCCCTTACCAGCTGAAGACTAGGGTCGACGCTAGGGTCAACCTAGGTTCAACGCTAGGGTCAGGTGGGTTTGTTTGGGAGGTGTTTGGGGGATGAAAAGAGTCATGTTGGTTATGGAAGCGTGTTTTCAGCGCGGAAACACATCCTGGAAGAAAAAGTTCGAGTTTGTTTTTCAACGGGCCCAACCTTTTTTGGGTAAGTGGCTTCTTGCATGTGGTATGTATAGCATGGCATGGTCGAAGGACAAGGTGAGACATGGAAGCTTACAGGATAGAGAGAACAGCCAGATCAGCAATGCCTTCTGGGATTGAGCCTGATAAACTATTGAAACTGAGAGTTCTGCCATGCCAGTCAGATGGGGGGAAAGAGGGGGAACAGATGCAATGTCATGTCATGTCACGGCATCTCGTGGCAGCACAGCACAGCAGCCAGAGCCAGAGCTCCAGTAGTGAGCTGATTGACTGTGAGCCTGCACCACCATCCATCCTACCATCACCATGTGCGTGTACTATGACCTTGTAAAGGAAGTTGAAACTCACCGGTACCATGCATGTACTCAACACACACCTCAGCTTCTAACGAACCCAGCGTTTAAAGAGTATTGAGGCGCCTCAAAAGTCCATCCTACCATCACCATGCGTGTCGCGTGTGTACCATGACATGACCTTGTAAGGAAATTGTAACTCACCGCTAAGTCAGTGGATTTTCCTGTAGCATGGCCTACTACGTGCTACTCACAGTTCTTGTAAGCGGGTGAGGCGAGACACAGTGGCTGGAAGAGAGCCGGTGAGCTTGGTGCTTGAGAGATGCCTGGATGAAGGGGAGTTGCATGTTGGCCGGGCAGGGAGGCAAATGAGTTAGTTCTAAGACGCAGGGCCAAGAACCCGGGAGGCATGGCACGCACTGCATGGGAGTGGTTAGCCTCGAGGTTGTGCGGCAGAGGTGTGTGAGGCAAGAAAGGAATCGGAAGAGGTTGAACATGGCATGGCATTGCATGGCTGGCCTCGAATGGCATGTGCTCGCATGGCATGGCATTACATGGCATGGACTCTCATGGCATGGACTCTCATGGCATGGACTCTCATGGCATGGACTCTCATGGCATGGACTCTCATGGCATGGACTCTCATGGCATGGACTCTCATGGCATGGACTCTCATGGCATGGACTCTCATGGCATGGACTCTCATGGCATGGACTCTCATGGCATGGACTCTCATGGCATGGACTCTCATGGCATGGACTCTCATGGCATGGACTCTCATGGCATGGACTCTCATGGCATGGACTCTCATGGCATGGACTCTCACGGCATGGACTCTCATGGCATGGTGCGGCGTACAGTTGAGTGAGTGCGGTGAGGTTCCCAATGGCATCTGGAATGGGTCCCTCCAACTGCTTCGCACTCACGTTCCTACAGAGGGGCATGGATGGGGGGCGTGGGGGCAATGGGGGTCATGGAGGTACATTGGTGGCATGGAGGGCACTGGGGGCATCATGAGGGGGGGCATGGGGGCATGAATGCACGAGGGGGCATGAGGGCATCGGGCTGGGTGCATGAGGGCATGGCGCATGGGGGGCTTGGTGCTGCAAAAGGAAGGGGGGATATGAGGGTCCAGCCTACAAGCAAGGTCCAGCAGGCATGGTCCAGCAGGCATGGTCCAGAAGGTTCATGGCTTTCGACAGTCACTTCCCCCCGGATTTCCACACAGCAGACCATCCGGCTTTGGATCATGAATCTAACCGAAATTTCCTTTGTTTTCAAAGGGGGGGAAAGGGAACGGAGAGGGGGTCAGGGAGCGGGGGGGTGGAGAGGGAGACCAGCGAGGGGAAGGGGACCAGCGAGGGGAAGGGGACCAGCGAGGGGAAGGGGAGGGGGTAGGTGAAGGCGTGCAGGGCGCACAGTGAGACAATGAAGCCAGCCGCATTGCAGCGCACGCCCTCCACCTGCGCGCAGTCCCCCCCCTTGCTCCATCCGCGCAGCTGCGCCTGCCACTGCCCCTGACACTCCGCCAGCACCGCCGCTGCGGGGAACAGAAGCGGAGGGGGAGGGGAAGGAGGTGGGTTGGGAGGAGCAGGGGAGAGCAGAATTGGGAGGAGAAGGGGAGAAGAATTGGGAGGAGCAGGGGAGCAGGATTGGGAGGAGGGGAGAGCAAGCGGAATCAACCTCCCAGGTTGGGAGAGCAGGATTAGGAGGCGAAAAGCGGGAGGAGAGAATGCACGGAGGAGAGGCGGCGGCTGTGGATGACTATGGATACACAGGCGGAGAGGGTAGCCGACACCAATGGCATTCGGAGAGGGTAGCATGGGGAAGTACAAAGCATTCACCAATGGCAGTGCGGCTTTTGGGGATAGGAAAGCCGTTTGGAAGTGTGGATTCCAGGGACGGCACGTGTTCTCTCCCTGGGCTTTCCTATCCCAAAAGCACAGCTTTTCTAACCGTACTTCTACATGCTTTCTACTAAGTGTGTGGAGTCCAGGAAGAAAACAGTTTTGAGACGTCTCAAATCTAAAAGTGTGTGGAGTCCAGGGAGAAAACACGCCCCTGAGTGTCGAGCGGGAAGCCTTCCTGAGGAAGCTGCGAGACGTAGCGGCGTGACCCGCGCATCATTGAGAAAGATTCGAGAGGGTGAAAGGCTGGTGCGCGCGGATAGGCGGCGTAGCGTAAAATGTACTGCGGGTAGTAGATTCCCGAAAGTAGTATTTGTGAGGTGCAAGGCTAGAGGCAGCACCGCGACCGACCTTGCGAGGGGTTGAGCGTTACGACAGCCGAGGACGGTGAGGCGAGGGAGAGTATGAATGCGACGAGAAGAATGGCGACGCGAGGCGACCTTGTCATAGCGGATGCATCTTGCATATTCTGACAGGGCGTTTGTTGTATTACTGTATCAGAAACTACTGTTGGGTATCGAGCTTTCGTCGTCCGCGTGTACATTCTCATACCCCATACAACCAAAGTCGATGAGAAAAGCCCACGTTCGAAAACCACCTAACGTCCGGTTTGGTGAACAAGATTCCACAGGTTTGACGGGCTACAGGAACACCACATAACAAAGGAAAAATACGCGGTTAGTAAAGAAACTGGGCCTAATTAACATCTCTAATTCAAATAACCATGCTAACGGTCACTAAAAATGGTGTTTACGTTCATATTGAAAGTGGTTTCACGTGCTCGCTAACTACATATTTGAATGGATCAACCCTAAACAAGAGACCCGCTTGGTGTGTAGGTCTGGCCAAAGATCACCTCTCTTTCCGATATGGTTATGTCCGTTTCCAAAATAATGTCTGGGTTGGCGCGAGTGGGAAACCTGCCGAGATTTATGTTATTTCGGATGGGTGTTTCGTGTTTGGCCATTCTCTCGTATACATGTTCGCCTATTATCCGTGATCGTGCGAAACTACTTATAAAACGCGATAAAGTACCTGACCGTTTGCACGTTACATATGAATTTTTTAGATAAATATTTTCGTAATATGCTAGGTTGATTAATATTCCATAGAGTGCAACTCGTTTTCATGTTAGGGATTCCCACTTGTACTCATGCATGCTGTCATAATCACAATTCTCGTTCCTTAACATTGGCTCCTTCACTGGTCTGCATCTCCTCTCGTTCTCCAGGAACTTGGTCAGTGTGGCTCACCTTCAGGACCTGGGTGCCACCACCACGTTTCTTGGGTTCAAGCGGTTTGCGACCTACGCGAAATTTACCATGGGGCCCCCTTTTGCCACGTTCTCCTGGGAGTCAGTCTTTGATTTTTTTCCCTAGCGCATCGAGTCTGCCCAAGTGTCAGTGTCCTTTCAGGTAGGTGTGTCCTGCTCGTATTGGTCCCTCACACACCCGTCACTTCTGCGGCACCACCACGTAGGTAACTCTCCTTGCCGCGTCTCAGTCAGATGATTTCTTGCGGTCTTGTCTCAGGTTTTCAGAGACACTCTCCCCAATTCTCCCCTCATCTACGCCACCGTGCACTCCCTGTGCCGAGGCGCCCGGATGCACGCTGCCCCTCGCTCTTCCTCGGTGTCTCATGCAACTGCGTCACTTCAGGCCCTTCACATGGACCTCTAGGGGCCTGGTGGAGAGCGCTACTTTCTAATGGTCGTGGACGAAATTTCTTGCTACATCACGGTGTTTGCGTTGCAGCAGAAGGAAGACGTGCCTGGCATTCTGTTCTTGCCGGTCATAGCTGCCCGCACCTAGCAAGGCTTCCATGTGATTCGTCTGCACTCTGACCAGGGTGGTGACTTCCTCTCCAGTCGGGTCAAGCCGATTTGGTATCCGCCAGTCTTTCTCAAAGCCAGAATCGCCGCCACAAAATGGGATCGCTGAGCGCCGAATTTGCTTGATCATGGAGGTCGCTCGTACCTCCATGTGCCACGCAGATGCCCCCTATTTTCTGTCGCCCTTTGCAGTCTGCTACATCGCGCACCAGCTTAATATGTGGCCCCGTTCCTCGCGCCCACATGTTTCGCTGACCCTCCTCCGAACCGGGTCACCTGCTCCTGCGTCTACGTTCCGCATCTAGGGTTGTCTCGCTTTAGCCTGCGATCCTCGTGCGGACCAAGCTATCAGCCCACACTGTCTCCGGTGTCTTCCTTGGTTTTCCCGTAGAGACTCCTGACTGGCTGTTCTATCACCCCTCCTCCCGCCACTACTTTAGCTCTTGTGGTGTCACCTTTGACGAGTCTATATGTTTTTGCACTCGTTTCCCGCACAAAGGTACCCCCGTTCCCATCCCTCCCCAGGTCCTCACTACCCCTCCCCCGCCTGGTCCCAGTCTTCCGGTAGCTCCCCTCCCCCTTCGTTCCGCCTCGTTTGGTCTGTCGCACATCACCCCGCACTCCATACCGTGACCGGCCTCATCCTCGCAGTCGCCACAGCAGGGCCAAGCGTCGCAATGGCCGGTCACTGTGGAAACTGGGGGTACTTGGTGGGTGCACATGTGGTGGGTGCTGGTTTTGGGTATGCTGGATCTGAAGGTGCTGACGCTGGTGGTCCTGGCTCTGGGGGTGCTGACGCTGGAGGCGTTTCTTCTGGGGGTGATGACGCTGGAAGCGTTAGCTTTGGGGGTGCTAACGCTAGAGGTGCTGGCTCTCGAGGTTCTACCGGGGTAGGTACGAACATTGGGGGTGCCGCGGCAACAACAATAGCAATTGCCGCAAAAGCAGTAGAAGCAGCAGCACCCGCAACTACTGATGCTGCCACCTCCACAACAGCAGCTTTAGGGACCGTCGTCGCCTCCGATGACTGGTCTTCAACTTCTTGGTCTTCCTTTTCCTTCGACTGAATATCCTCCCCCCACCCAACTGCCTCTCCCGAACTCATCTCCTGCTTGTTGTGTCAGAATAAGAACGAGGAATGAATGAACTAGCAAGCTGGTGGGTACAAGTAGGAAACCCTAAATGTGTTGTACCCCATATGGTCTACCCCACTACAGCCTAAACAGACTATGTCATATAAGTTTGACACACCCCCATAGGCAAAGTGGGGGAGAACAAGAGGTCACAAGACCAGTCAAGAAAAGCAAAGCAAGCTCAGGGTGGATCTCAAGGATACCACACAAATTCCGAGCACAAGCAAGCGGTCACAAGACCAGTTCACATGCAGTTTGATAATACAACAAGAGATACAGTGATCACAACCTAGCAAGTATAAACATGCAGGTAGACATATATAAGGATCACAGTACAAGCAGAGTCAAGAAGTAAGCAAGTGAGGCACAGTAGGCACAAGGCCTAGAACAGTACAGAAACGCTGATGATCACAAGGCTGAAGTGCCTTGGTGAACACATCAGCAGTGTTGGCCCGAGTGGCCACGTAAGCAAGACGAAGCTGACCATGCTGCTGCAACTCTCGAGCAAGGAAGTAGCGCAGAGCGATGTGCTTCGTTCTGTGCTCCAGCCTGTGCTCCTGACACAAGGCAATCATGGCCTTGTTGTCGACGTACAGCACTGGAGGAGAACGAGGCGGCTCTCCAAGGTCGGTCAGCAGGTAGGTGAGCCAACGTAACTCCTGAGCAGCCATGGCCCCTGCGTAGATCTCAGCCTCACAACTGGAGCTGAGAACAGAAGAAGAGCGGGTAGACCGCCAAGAAACAGAGCCGGAGCCAAGGCTGAAGGTGTAACCCTGTGACGACCACTGCGTAGCCAAGTCGTCAGCCCAAGAAGCGTCTGCGTGACCAGTGAGGACAACTCGAGCCCGTCCTCCAAGCACGAGCCCCATGCCCGACGTACTGCACAAGTAGCGCAACACCCTCTTAGCAGCGTCCATGTGGTCCTTCCTGTGTCGGCCAGGAGCAACATAGCGTGCTAGGATGCTAAGAGGGTAGGCTAGGTCAGGTCGAGTGCAGGTCATCAGGTACATGAGGCAGCCCACAAGCTCTGGATACGGGCCACTCGGCTCTACGGACTCGTCCGAAGGTGGAGCTGAGAGCGAGTGACCGGTAGGCAGAGGAGTGGACTATGGCGAGGAGTACGTGAAGCGGAAGCGCTGAAGGACCTGCTGCAACATGTGTGACTGAGTCAAGGTGATGGTGCGCTGTGCTCTGTCCCGGGTGATCCGCAAGCCAAGATAGCTTGTCAGCTCACCCAGGTCTGTGCACGTGTGTCTCTTCTGCAGCTCCGACTTCACGTGGGCGAGTGCCTCAGTGTCAGCAGTAGCAAAGACCAGGTCGTCTACGTACACGAGAACGTAGAACGGCGGCAGAGAAGTGTCGGTGCGTAGAAACAGCGACGGGTCAGCAGTAGAAGGAGCAAACCCAAGAGCAGCAAGAGTCGTCCTCAGTGTGTCGTGCCACTCACGGGGTGCCTGGCGGAGACCGTAGACTGGCCGCCGGAGGCTCCACTGGGTACCAGGAGGAAACGACCCAGTGAAGCCAGGTGGGCGGCGCAGCCAGATCTCCTCGTGCAGGCTGCCCTGTAGGAAAGCAGTGCTGAAGTCAAGAGAGTGGAGCTCGTAGTCACGCTGAGCGGCGACGTGCAGCAGAACCCGAAGAGTGGTCATCTTCGGGGTAGGGGAGAAGGTCTGGAAGAAGTCAACTCCCTGTCGCTGACTGAAGCCTCGAGCAACGTAACGCGCCTTGAAGACAGGCGGAGAACCCGGCGGCTGCTTCACCCTGAAAATCCACATACCACTGACTATGTTCGCCCCAGGCGGGGGAACCTCGTCGACGTAGGTGCCTGTGGACCTCCAGGAAGCCATCTCTGCGTCCATGGCTGACTGCCACTGAGAGGAGTAGGGACCCTCT